AGAGTTTTATGGAGATATAGATAAGAACAGTTATTTTAAGGTCGTCTCAATTCAGTTGTTGTAACGTTGGGTTGCAGTTAAAAAGATAGGAAATTATTTAGCTTTTGCCTCCTAAGCACGGTGGCATTTAGCTTTTGCCTCCTAAGCACGGTGGTATTTTAGGAGGTGGTATTTAGCTTTTGCCTCCTAAGCACGGTGGTATTTAGCTTTTGCCTCCTAAGCACGGTGGTATTTTAGGAGGTGGTATTTAGCTTTTGCCTCCTAAGCACGGTAGTATTTAGCTTTTGCCTCCTAAGCACGGTGGTATTTAGCTTTTGCCTCCTAAGCATGGTGGTATTTAGCGTTTGCCTTCTAAGCATGGTGGTATTTAGCTTTTGCCTTCTAAGCACGGTGGTATTTAGCTTCACAGACTTTAGTGGCAGGACATTACTGATGTTAATGACATATATTTAATTCTGCATGGCATTGTCACTAGATGACCTACTTGTAAGCTATGTCGCTGATGTGACTTAAAATGATATGCACCACGAGACACAATTCGAAGCCAATCAGCGCACGAAAATACATTGTTCCAGTAATCGAACAAAGCTGTTCAGATTGTCGATAAGGCGGGAATTTTACATTTTAGACACAATTTGTAAGTTTAAAAAAACGTGAAAGGCGAAGAAAACGTAAATATAAGCATTGAACTGGGTTTTTTTTGTATGGCATTTGTGATCTAATTGAATGACACACTTTTGCGCATTATGGTGTTTGCTTGCAAAGCTGTGTCATTCAAAAAGATCATAAATGCCATACAAAAACAGTTCAATGCTTAAAAATCCCCTCGTTGGCGGTTTTTTGCTTGCATCAAAAGCCGAGTCAACAGAGCGTCGTAACTACGAGTACGGACAGGCTTAAAGAGTCGAATTTGTGCCATATCATCTATAAGTGTATGAAGTAACCAAGCTAGTTTTTGAAAATCGCCAGACCAGTTTTAGCTCAATCCAGTTGTAATATCCATGTGTATAACTATGATTACGTATCCTTTGAAAAACATCACATTTCCGTGACTGCTTTTGACCTTTTTGCACAGAAACTATACGGTCAATGCATCCATGTGATGTAGCAGGACATCAAGACATGTTTTGTTAGGTTCTTCGTGTTGTCTACGGTACGGGGTAATTTATTACAGGATTATTGGTAGGATGATAATGTTTTCTTTAATACGTACAATCATAGACATGATTGAATGGTTAAAATAATGATAAAAAAACATTGATTTTATCTACGGTTCACTGTCCAGTAATTCGTTGTCGTAATTCTCCTTTTGTTTAAGCAGAAGATACCATGGTTTTTCAATAAAATAGATTTAAAGCTAATGGCAGATATTTTAGAGAGGGAACTGTTCAAGTCCCGTCAAGTATTCTGAAGGCCTTGTACTTAGGGTGTAAATTTACACTAGATGCCGACTAGCCAGTATCAAATTAGTGTAATCCATTTCAATAATTTTAAAGCCACTGTGAAAAGTGTTAAGAATGTTTTTCACAAGAGACACTCGCCCTGTGGTACAAAAATCAAATACCAAAGTGTGAACAAAATTGTAATCCGAACTCAAAATCAATTAACATGTGGCAAAATATAAACAACTGGAAGAATTTCAAAGGGAATAAAATAAATAATATTATCAAAATGACGACCATACCAAAGCGAGGAACCTCCTGGCATTATTTTACCTGAGTACAACAGCGTCAGCTGTTCCTCAGTCTTCAATACAGATTGACCAACACCTAGCTTGTTCTTAACACGTCATCGTGTAATAACAACACAGAGTGTTCAAACATCCGGTACATTGATGTTGTAGCGTAACGTTTACAGAACAATTGATGCAGCGCCATTTATATATATAAACTAGGGGTAGCATATCTCCATTACTGTAAATAATACACACTAGAAAATAATATTCCGGTAGGTCAACATTGACTATAAGGAGAGGAAATGGTGTGTGAACCTTCTTTGTCATAGTAGTTCTCATTTAATAATTCTGAATAATATTTCATAATACTATTATTTTCAACGCGGGAACGGTTTATATTTCCCTTATCCGGGCGCAATTTGTATTCAATTCTGCTATATAAAAGGAATGGAAAGATAAGTTAAACTCTTTTAGAGTTGCTTCTAGCAATTTATTTATGTATGTTGGTTTCCTGATATTGTATAAAGTGTGTGAATGGTTGGAAGATGAGACTGGTTTACTGAAGATCTTTAGAGTATTCCGTCTTTGCGTATTGCAGAGATATCTTCTCTTGGGCGCAGATATTGATTGTTACGTCATTGATTTGTGTGAGAAAATTACGTCGTTTTCTCAAAAATTGATTACGTTACTCTCACAAACAAGTGACGTAACAATAAATCCGTGCTCCCAAGAGAAGATAACTCTGCAATACGCAAAGACGGAATAGACTGTTAAACAGGGATGATGCCTACTAAACAAAGCTGAGTAAGTCTGAATACGTCTAGCTGTGACTGCATTCGCATCATCACGCCATCACGCTATACATTCCCACAGCATCAACATGACGTACGTAATTCGATGTCATGGCTAGTAGTAAATGGCTCGTGATCAACTGTTATGTACTGTCCGATATTTGGATGACTACTGTTTTGAAAGAATTTGCAGTAGAAACGACATCGGAGTATCGGGAGTTTCGATGTGGTTATCTGAACTATCCTTATTATTTCCGTAAGCACCATAGATTGTACCGTGTATACTGGGTTACTAATGTAGACACTTGCCTACTGAGATCTTAATGTAAAGAAGACCACGGAATGAACCTTGTATACTGGGTTACTAATGTAGACACTTGCCTACTGAGATCTTAATGTACAGAAGACCACGGAGTGAACCATGTATACTGGGTTACTAATGTAGACACTTGCCTACTGAGATCTTAATGTAAAGAAGACCACGGAATGAACCTTGTATACTGGTTTACTAATGTAGACACTTGCCTACTGAGATCTTAATGTACAGAAGACGACGGAGTGAACCATGTATACTGGGTTACTAATGTAGACACTTGCCTACCGAGATCTTAATGTACAGAAGACCACGGAATGAGCCTTGTATACTGGGTTACTAATGTAGACACCTGCCTACTGAGATCTTAATGTACAGAAGACCACGGAATGAACCTTGTATACTGGGTTACTAATGTAGACACTTGCGTACTGAGATCTTAATGTATACTACATGGAAACTGATATCGACTAAGTACAGTTCCACTTCAACAGGTACAGTAGCCATGTTCTAGGGAAATAATTGACCTTTCGAAATATCGGGTGTTCGGTTTATGTTTTTTGCTTTGGAAAACTTGTTTTATTTCCTTCATGATATCAGTTCTATGGGTATCTTCGGAGTTTTGGTGACAAATGTAAGAACAAATTATCTGGAATTCCGCATATGTTTAAGTGTTTGTTCACCGGACAAATTGACCTATGAGATTTCGGTATTAATGGCTTCTACAGAGAATCAAACAAACGGAAAAGTGTGACCGACTTTAATATAAGGTTTGTCTCCATAGTTAATAAATAAACTATTCCACTGTGTTACAAATAAGATTGGTACCTGCCAAGGGTAGAGTTTTGTTTATATGTTTATTTTTATCTGTTAAGTGTTTACATTCAACACGTACTTATAAAGATTCCCAATTAGTCTCACGCGCTATCATATAATGACAGCGCCATCAGGCGGGTATACAAGGGAGTATCACCTGAATAAACACGAGCTATTGTTGCTTGGTTCGTCGTTTTCGTGACACTGATATACTCATTAAACCTACAACATATTGAAAGATATGTTTGTTATAGAGACACCCCAATAAGAGCATTCTCACTAAATGTCACTTTTAGCTAAACCGGCTACATTGTAATGTGAGATCCCTGCAGAATCGGGGTTTCTTTCTGTGACACAAAAACTGAGCTGATACCTGGGGACCACTATCCGTCGTTTCATTCCTACGCTTTCTCATCGCCTTTATAATGAGCATAACTGTTGCGAGGAAGTAAAAACCACAGCTAAACAAAATCAAAACGAATGCAGGAGTTGCTCAAACAGCGAAGATCGACCGATACGATAGTATCACCAACAGATACTTTTAAGACAAAGATGTTGTGTGCTGATAAAGCTGGCAGAGTTGTCGTTCCTTTACACGGTGTTAAAAGACGCCTCTTAGATTTTAGGGAAATTAACTGAATGTAAAATGTACTGACGCACAAATATGTTTTATGTAAATGTTATTTAAGTGAACTATTTGGAAACGGAATATTAACATACAGTAAAGAAGATAATAAATCTGCCATGTACCCTGCCACAGGGGCGTGACACAGATTCCCAGACCCAAAGTCTTGAGTATTCTGTGTGATAAGTGTATATACGATGTCTATACAAAGTAGTTTAATACAATTAAACTAATAATTTATTCCATGCCAGCTATCATTGTCAACCTAATTATGCTCATTCAGTAGATATTAGGAGAGAAATGTTCTTATCATAATGTTCTCTTAATGTGTTGCTTATCCTAAAGATTTTTTTACCGAGTTTTAAATCCTGCAGTGATATTTTCACAAATGCACAAGGACATTGCAGACCTATAATGACTTTTAATCGTGTCTAGTAATCCATGCATTGCTGGACACGTTTTATATAGATGTTGAACTGTTTTATTGTAACATTTGTAATTGCATAATATGTGTTTGACACGTAAATAAAAATATGTATTGATTGAAAAATGTGCACGGAATTTGCGCCTTGATGATATTAAACGCTTTAGTTTCTAGTGATTGTTTGTCTCGGTAGACATGCTAAACGTAGCATACTAAATAACATGCATATTTTCCCTGTAATATAACATAACATAAATTACGGCAGGTGAGTGCATACACTTACTGCGAATCGATCACCGTGTACCTATACTCTGTGTTACAGGTATGACCTTTTCATATTATGTAAATCTACTTACCTGCGTTTTAAAAGAGGGAACAATCACTCGGAACCTGGAATCTTCGGATCAGGTTAATCCTCTATCACAGACAGGAGATAACTCGGACTGTCCAGAGTAACGTGCTGTTCGGACCTCATCAGTAGGTGTTATTGTCAGGGCCTTGTATCACCGCTCTACCGCCGATATATGTCGTAGGTTTGCTATATAAAAGAGTCTTTATCTAAATCCCAGCAACGCGTGGAGACTATCAGATCGAGCATTGAAATGCAACTTTAATCTTAACATATGACCCGAAAGTGACATTTTCGAGATATTGGACTTCGAATCGATGTTGAGTAAGGTCCGGATATCTTGGAACTGGTCCCTGGCAGAAATCAAACCAAACGCGATATAGTATCAGCACCAGCACTGGTTATTTATTTTAAAACTGTGTTTGACTATGTAATTCATTAATGAATTCGTCAAGGTAAAGTAAATAAGTCGGTGGCGTCGACTGTTCGTCAACATCCCGTGGTGTTTGTTCAGAAACCTTGTAGAGAAGACCACATACGTAAGCTCACTTACTCCTAGGTCATTGATAACATTTAAGTTTGATTGCCTGTTACGACGTTCAGCTGATACACAAAAATTAACAACTTTTTGTTTAACAACGGTTAAAACACCACCGACAGCTTGTTTACTTTCTCTCTGACTCCAGACTGCTGTGACGTAATATTCCCTATAATGGATACAGGTGTTTAATTGGCACTCCCCTTTAAAAGTTAAATACATAGAGAGAAAATGTTATTCTGTTAGTGTCGAGTTCACGATTTACTTCCATACATATGTATTTTATTCAAACACCTATGGTAATGCATTATCAATACTGAATATCAGCTACGAACTATGTTCAACTTTTTCTGCCCGTTTCTCTGCTTGGTAACTTTCTGTACAACCAGATACGCGTATTTATAATACACTATAATGTATGCGTACATGTTTTTCGGAGTTTACCTCCTTCAATAGCCAGTGTCGACGAAGTATCGCCTGGAACGTTCAACGAAGACTACCAATAAAGAAATGTTCATATTTTCACTGCGAACTTCTTAATTATATTAAGTTTTATCACAATCCTGGCCTTTCATTGTCTTGAAACACAACCACTTCATACCAGTCCAAAATAATCGAGTATTTCCTATTTAAAAAGAAATAAAGGAGAGTATATGTCCTATTCATTTCCAAAGAGGGGACGATCCGGTTGTATCGGACTAATAACATACCTGTATAACGGTACAGTTAGTGATACCCGCGTTACTTTAATGATATTCTTTAAGTCAGTGGAAAACAGACCATTTCTGACGTTGAATTAAAGGAAACTTAATAACTAGTTGTTAATTTTATACATATTTGATTCCCTTGGAACTAAGGACAAAAGTTTGAAGGGTTCTGTCCCCTTTCTCTGTAACATCCCCCTTACTTTCCTTTGGGTATAACTGTAGCACATTTTGGCCCGGATACTTCAAGTCCAGGGTTCGAATACTATTGTATTGATTATGTTTTGCTTATTTCGTCTTTATTCTTTAGCCCATAAATCAATAATTGAATGTCACATTTTGAGTCACATTAGAAAACAATATTTTTAGCTCGTTCCAGTGAAAACAAAATGCATGACGCGGAAATTTAAATAACATTTTAGTCCAGCAAAGATGTTAGTTTCCTTGTCAGTAGTGATGATACAGTTTTTGTCAGTGGGACGGGGATCCTTAGACCAAACTTCATAGTCCAAATTACACTATTTTTTTCCAATCACGTGCCATGTCACTTGTATTTACCGTAATCCTCTATTTTGACATCCTTGCAGGTCGGGAATTGAGAAAAAATATATATACCTGCTGTCCCCGTATGCATGTGTGATGTGGGAATCACATGCAGAGTAGGTGAAGGTGATTCACTTGTTTCCCCCTCTACTAGGGAATAATACCAAAAATACTAAAAACAAATCTGACGCGCCCATAGCAACATTTGGGAACTTTTGTTTTTTCACTCAGCTTCTTAAAACTTTTTGTTTCATTGTGCCTCGTTTGGCAACACTTTTGTGGTGAACGTACATACGCCCAAATGGAAGCACCGAATCCGTGCAATTGCAAGGAGGCAAACACACCAACATATTATCTCCACCAGACATACACACATGCATAGCATTGGAAGCACGTCCTTAAATGACCTTGGCTGTTAATAATACGCTAAACCCAATAAAACCAAAACACTTTTTATGCCAAGTTTGAGTCCACATCGGTTTTTGTGTCAGAACTCTTCTGACAAAAAGGGACTACTTTGAGTTGATTAAATGACTGATCTGAGTGACGCGCAACGGGCGATGTACTGTGAAAAATAATGTGAACCCAAAATAAAATATACAGAGATTGGCAACTCACGCAGATCTCGCAAAAACACGCATGATCATGAAGTTCCTGCAGTGGAATAAGATACGCCGCGAGACTTGGGTTGCGGCTGACCTATCACGCGGAACCTGGTCTATGAGTGTTTGTTTTGACACCTAAAAGCACATGTCGAAGCAGAATGATTTCGATCCTGGTGAAGATAGTGTGGTCAATGTGTTACCTGTGAGAATTAATTAGTTCCTGTCAACATGTCACATATCTTAGATATATGGCTCATATGTAGAAGCTGGTTAGAAATATTATGTAATATCTGAATACGTTTTCGAAATAAAATAGTGAATGAGAATGGAATGCCGGTGACATGACAGGAATTAACCCTCGCACATCACAGCCTCCATTTTAACTTGATTATTTTGAAAACACGGTATTTTCATAGCTAAATAACTAAATTTTGCAAGTATTGTAAAAAAAAACTCATTTTAAAAAGCTGGTTAGAAATATTATCAAATAATTAGTATCTGAAGATGTTTTTGAAATTAAATAATGAATTAGAAAGGAGCTCGTGTTTAAATGTGTCATGGAAGAAGTAACCCTCACACATCAAAGCCGCCATTTTAACTTGTTTATTCTTAAAAACCTGTATTTTCAGAGCTAAATTATCAAACTTTACAAGTATTGTAACAACCTCATTTGATATACCCGGTTAAGAAATATATCAAATAATTAAGTATCTGAAGACGTCTTTGAATAATAAATTAGAAAGGAGTTCGTGTTTTAAGGACATTCCAATATGGCTGCCACACCAAACTGTATATCAAAATAATAATCCTCCAATATTTCTCAAACATAATTGAGGTACATGCACATTAAAATTCAGGAAAAAAACCCATTCAATAATTGATGAAAAACTCACTTTATATATGTTCATTTTCCAAGCCTAATAAAAGTCACAATTCAGGTAAAAAAACACATTTAAACTTGTAAATATCATAAGATTGGAGTTCATGGAGATGAGATGCATTTGTCGAGAAAAAAGGGAGGAAATGCTTCAAATCTCGAGAATGATGACATGTATTTTGATTGGATATTTTACAATAATTCATCAAGCTAACAAGGCTTTTGATAAAAGTCAAGTCAGATTACCCGAGTGATAACTTGTAGTGAATGGTGTACAGGTAAAATCTCACTTGCTTTGCATGCTTTTTTAACTTTAGTCAGCCTTGTTCGCTTTGTACTCAGTTGCTATTATTCAGGGGAAATATATGCCATTATTCTGGAGATTTGACACATTTTCAATGGTAAGGTCAAGAGCAAGTTGCCAATCTCTGTAATAGGCCTATATACGTCTCTGTCCTAATTAAATTTCCCTTCTTAAGCGTCAAGTGTAATATTAAAAATTAACATTTGTGTGAAATTGAGGTTCTTGCACTTGCACAAAGTACTCGACGACAAATATTGCGTTTCTTTTGCTTTATTCGTATGGAAAATCCGTATGGAAAATCCCTTAAATGATATAAAAACACTAGTTGTACAATACAGACACATATTAAACATATTTCCTATCGAACACACCGACATTAACTTTTACAATACATAACGCGAACAATGGAATATTTAAAAGGACGTGAACACAATTCTATGACTTCTAGATAAAAATGGAGTTACTGTATCGTTACATACAAATGAATTATAGAACATTCTCAGTGTAGAATGTAACTTATAATATTTTACTTTGACTTGCAACTAATTTACACAAAGGAATTTACGTAAGTCTAAAACAATAATTTACCAAATAATAATTTATCAAATAATGCTAAATTAATTAAATACACATTCTGTAAATAACTTACCCTGCATGTGGTGCTGAGGATATATTGGATGAATAATCAATTTATGCCATCGATCTTCAAACTTAGGAAAAACTCATCTATACAATGTAGGTCTGACCCCTTGTAAATAAAGTGCCCAAGTGAAGAAATAGAGAGAGAAAAGCGGGAAATAAAATAAGCGTCGCATTGCGCATGCATGTCCAAAGTGGTCAGTCTGGTCAACAAAAGAATACAACACATAACACATGACATCACAGGTGTTACACAATCACATACTTATACAATGTGCATAATACGGGCCATAATAACAAGTATACGGAAAGCGGAAATACGGGTCACGTGATACAGCGGCACGAACGGAAAATGTAACTTACTTAACAATCTTCCATAGTGAAGTATTTATTTTCTTTCAAATCCAACTTAATCAAATCAAAACCTAAATATATATAATATTCACTAAATACAACAGGGTGCCACATTTGTATACAGTCAAACTTACAATTTCAAAACAATCAATGTTTAATGACTTAGAATCGTTTTCAGACACTTCTACTGAACGCAGCGCATACTATATCCGGGTATGGTTATACGACTTTAAAATTATACTTACAAATGCATTTCCGTGATATGCCGGAAGCTACGTTTTGCTCGACCTATCAACCTTGTTTACTTCAACACTGACAGTTACAAAAAGAAAGTAGAAATAATTAGCCTACTTTCACAAAAACCATGATGATGAACGTGTAAGTATGATATTTAAAGATTTCTAAAGTTAAAACAAACAAGACCATGAAAGATAAATGATTAAATTAGCAACGGATTGGTAAATGATTCTAAAAATAGACGTGACGTTCACCTCTTGACTGGAATTTTCATCATTGTTGTGAAATCATTTTAGCAATAGTTTCCGCTCATTATCATATTGATCAAGGGAAAGAAGACGGTCAAAACAAGTGAGGTACTTGTTGTGATTTGCAGCATGCGTTTATTTGAAAATGTTTAATGTTATCGAAATCCTTCTTGGCTTGCTTAGTACTAAATCTCGATTTCGAAAACGAAAGTAGACCTTAAATTCTTAATAAAGAATACTGAATTCAGTATTCTTTCAATGAAATCGTTCTATACTATTTGGATACAACAGTATGATTTACAAAATGTCTGTCTTCTATAATAGTATTTTATGTTAATGTCAGTTTACTTGTTTTACATTTCAGGTTAAGTCAGACGAACTTTCCTCAGGTGAAATGGCAAAAGTAGCAACCATGCAGCAACCAAACCTCATATCAAACCTACAAAATGTAACTAATCCTGCTAACTATGTTGGAAGTCATCTTCAGACGCTTGGGACCCCTCCAGGTGAGGAGCCTATGGAAACGGAAGAATACCCAGCGATAGCTCCCAGTCAACCTGGCACAATGGGTACAGTTATCGGTACCCCACAAACAGAGGAGGAAAACTGCTCCATATGTTTAGACAGTTTCACAGACAAGACTGTTTTACCTAGCTGTTCACATGAGTTTTGTAAGGAGTGTATAGAACAACAGTTTAAGTACAAGCCTGTGTGTCCTATATGTGGAGCTGTATATGGTAAAATTACAGGGACACAGCCCCCCGGACACATTACCATCACACGCTTATCCAATGGTAAATTACCAGGATATGAACAATATAGCATCATATCAGTGTCTTATTCTTTCCCTGACGGAATCCAAGGGGTAAGTTAGATCAGAGAACACGTCTGAACAATTAAGGCATTTGCAATGGTATGTTTTTGACTGCTGTTATGAGACCAGAACAATTTATTTTTTAAACACCGAAAAATTGTAGCTTTTTTATAATTATTGATTTGAACCAGTAACTAAATGTGCAATTGTAAATTAAGTATGATACATGTATATTATAAAAAAAAACAATGATTAATTTATTTTTGTAAAAGATTGATAACCTGGTATGTGACTTTTTCTTGTAGGCGGAACACCCCCACCCAGGGACAAGATTCTCTGGGACCAGTCGCACAGGCTACTTCCCAGACTGTCCAGAAGGTGTCAAGGTGGTCAGATTACTTAAAACAGCATTTGACCGCCGTCTTGTTTTCACTGTTGGAAGGTCAAGGACAACAGGGGCTGACAATGTTGTGACTTGGAACGATATCCATCATAAGACAACATTTACTGGTGGCCCTCAAAAGTAAGTACTCATTCATGTCTGTACCCATACCTCTTATATATCATCTCCTTGATGTGACATGTGTAGGTAAAAAATGAACTTTGTATAGATACTTGATCCTGATTGAAACTAAAATGTAGTTTCATTTTTCTAGAAGAGGTCATTGTTTTCTCAGCGCCTTCACAAGGAATGAAACCCAGGACCTCTGGTTTACTAGTACATGTATTACATTTTACGGAATGAGCGAAAGAAAAATTCTACCAGCGAAATTGGTTAGAAGTAGCTGGTATTTTGTACATTTTTGGCCCGAAAATATAATTGTGTAGATAGCCTAGCTAGGGGTAGATAGCCTTGTGTAGAAAAACATGTGCTAAATTGTGACATCATTTAATACCATTCACTTGACATCAAGTAAATGGTTGAGGCATTAACAATAAAATAATCACCCTGAGGTTGGAGAGTTCCCTGTCACAGTTTCAATGTCAGGAAAGATTATATTAGTCTACATAGTGATCCCACTGATTTCAGACAGTATCTTACTATTTCAAAGGTATAAAGCATCATGGCTATATTTTAAGTATTCAAAAGGTTAAGAACTTTTCGCTATTACCACCAGTGAAAGATAATCATACAGATAGGTACCAAACATTGGCTGGGTCCATGTTAAGTCACTGGTTTAAGGTTACATTAAGTGACAACAATCAGCTGTCAGGCTGCCTATGCAGTTCATTCAATTCACTGATAGGTAACTTATGGATGTGTATGTCATATGCGTATATTGACCGTAAACATTGAGAAGTAAATTCTGAGACCCCTTCATTTGTTTTTAGGAAATTTGACTTATTTAATTCCACCAATCCCAACTCCCTTCTTTCAAATCTTGAGAAAAAAATAGTAAAATATTCATTGGTTACCCATTAGTACTGAGGATTTTTTTCAGATAATGTTTTTTTAAAACTTTTGTAAGTAAGTTGTATTTTCAATATGCTTTGAAAATGAAATTCTAATTGAAATGTTGTTTTCATTTCAGAAATTGTCATTAAAACTATATCAATACTTTATACAAGTGTAGCTTTAATATGTATCATGACATGGCGTCATAAGATCCCTGTTGAATAAGATAATGCTTTCTCTCCCGTTTTGCCGGTGCTAGATTTATCTGTCTCCGCCCTAGGGTTGAGACGGGGGGGATTCCCCTATTTATAACAATGGTATGACGTCACTGCAACAATACAATGACGTCACGTCAACAATCCATCAACGTCACGTCAACCCTGAATTTAGCATGTAACATTATCATTACATTGTGTATATTATACACATTGGGGAAAACAGGGTACATGTAAGAGAAAAAGAATCATTCACCCCCTTGTGGGCAAGATAGGGGAATCTCAACCCTCGGGGAAAGATTCTTAAGTTGCCAAACACTCGGCAAAGCCTCGTGTTTGGCAACATAAGAATCTTCCCCCTCGGGTTGAGATTCCCCTATCTCACCCCAAAGGGGGTGAATGATTCTATTAGTCTCTTTTGATATAGGAGTTATTTCCCCTACATTGTCCAGGCTAATGATAACAGTGACTATTTGTTAATTTGCAGTTTTGGATACCCTGATCCAACCTATTTAGGGAGAGTTACGGAAGAGCTTGCAGCTAAGGGTGTTACAGAGAATGACCTGGATCACACCACACTCAACATTATACACTAGCGTGTGTAGCAGAAAACCATATGAGCAGACAGTACATGGTTAGTGGATGACCATATCACATGTTCTCCGGAGTGATCCTTACATGACTTATTGATCGGACATTAATAGTGGCGGCATTAAAATAATAATAACCTTTGTTTTATGCACAAAACATTATGTAGCAAATAAAGTGATATTTTGTATAAAGTGTCTGATTTTGATCATTCTTTTCAACCTGCATCGCTTGACAAAGTACTTTTTTATATTAAATATCTGAATATGTTTCTTTAAATATTGTAGGGAAAATATGGAAATAATACATTGGACACTGATACAAGCGTATGTGATTATCCACTGTTGTAACCATAGGAGCCAGAAATAGTTAGATAATTAATTTTATCTGTGATAACCTTAGAGTCGATAAAGAGGCAGTCACTGATCCCTAACTCATGATAAGTAACAAACAAATTATTCACCCATTGGTGAAATATATTTGTCATTCATTGGAAAATACATTTATACTCTATGTGGATCATTTTTAGCTCACCTGGTCCGAAGGACCAAGGTGAGTTTATGCCATACCGTGGCGTCCGTCGTCCATCCGTCTGTACGTCCGTACGTCAACAATTTCTTTAAACAACTTCTTCTACTTTACCACTGGTTGGAATTAAACTAAATTTGACTGGAAGCATCCCTAGGTGGTGGGGATTCAAAATTGTACAAACGGTGGGGCTGACCCCCCCAGGGGGCTGAGGGCTGGGACCAAAAGGGGTCAATTTGCCCATATTGCTTTAAGTGACTTCTTCTCTGAAACTAAGAAATGGATATCAACCATATTTGACTGGAAGCATCCCTAGGTGGTGGTGATTAAAAATTGTACAAATGGTGGGGCTGACTCCCCAGGGGGCTTAGGGGCGGGGCCAAAAGGGGGCAGTTTGGCTATATTGCTACAAACGACTTCTTCTGTAGAACAGTGCACTGGATATCAATCATATTTGATCAAAAGCATTCCTGGTAGGCAGGGATTTAAAATTGTACAAATGGTGTGGCTGACCCCCCAGGGGGCTGAGGGCTGGGGCCAAAAAGGGTATTTGGCTATACTGCTTTAAGTGACTCCTTCTCTGGAACGAAGTGATGGATATAAACCTTATTAGACTGGAAGCATCTATAGGTGGTGGAGATTCAAAATTGAACAAACAGTTGGGCTGACCCCCCAGGGGGCTGAGGGGCGGGGCCAAAAGGGGGCAATTTGGTTATGTTGCTGTAAATGACTTCTTCTGCAGAACTATGCCATGGATATCAATCATATTTGGTCGGAAGTATTCATGGGAGGCAGGGATTCAAAATTGTACAAATGGTGGGGCTAACCCCCCCGGGCTAAGGGGTGGGGCCAATAAAATGCATTACTTGGAAATGGTTGAGATCCCCACCATATAACCATATATACAATTGCTGAGTATAAAGAGATGATTGCACATATGCTTCCAGGTTGGCCTTGGGGACTGCCCCACCCTTGGAGACTTAACCTCTGGGTCATAACTTTGAAATGGTTAATATCCCCACCCCAAAACTATATATACAATTGTTGGGCATAAAGAGACGAATGCAGTCATGACATTAGAATTGATCCCAGGGTCTGCCCCACCCTTGCAGACTTGGCCCCTGGGTCATAACTTTGAAA